AAAGCCTAGCCAACCAAAACCCTACACTTCATATGTATTGAGTATTAACCAATCACCTGGCTACTAATAACCAAAGCTTGTTGTATTCTCAATAAAAACCCTGCGAGTTAGGGACTCAGGGCTCTCAATCTCGATCCGCTGTGTCGGTGGGTGACAATTGAGAGTCCCTGCTTAAGCTTGAATAAACGACCCTCGTGTGCTTACATCGGAAACGGCCTCCTGGTGGTCTTTGGGACTTCACAATCTGGGCACAACATAAGGTGAGCTCAAGACCAGCCTAAACTACATAGCTGATCCTGTCTCAAAAAACAAAACAAGCTGGGTGTGGTGGCACATGACTGAGGAGTTCAAGGCCAGTCTGAAGTACATAATGAGACCTTGTCTCAAAAAACAAAACAAAACAAAAAAAGAAAAAAAAAATTACCAGAGGCTATTGTTTTGCTCTTTGCTCGTTCATTGGGCTGCATCAGACCAGGTTAAAATCAAAATGGAGTAGTCACACTCAAGTTCTATGTCACTAATCCAAGACTGAGCTGTTTATCTTACTTTCCCAGAAATCAGGATTAGAAATAACAGCCACATTTTCCCAAACCAGTTTTAATCAACATAATAAAGTTAATACTTAAACAAAACAAGTAACCTGAAATAACCAGTGATAACTAATCAGTTATTTTTCCATTGTTCTGTCTCCTAATCCCTGCCTTATAAAGTAATTTTGAAATGACTGATCTTTTTTTTTCTTTCTCCTTTTCCAGTACTGAGTATCCAATGCAGTGCTTTCCTACTGAGCTACAAATATCCCCATGCTGCGCGAGACAGCAGCTAGTAGAGGCCAGTGATGTGGGCAGTAAAAGAATTTACCAATAGACGAAGAATACAGGAAAGACAAGAGTTTGTTTAGATCTCTTACTGAGCACACAAGGTCAAGAGGGGCAGTGGGCGAGTTTCCAAGAGGATTCCACAGTTGGGTGAGACAGGGGTTTTTATACCATGGTGTGGGAAATGGTAGAATTCAGCTATCTGGTTCACAAGAAGTTTGTTAACTAAGAGAATTAAGTGGTTTCTGGGAAATTCCACAAGTCTGTTTGTTAAAAGAATGCCAGAAAACTTTGAGACCTTGTAAAAGTCTCACAGGAGAAAAACAGGTTTTCCTAGTTTTCTTATTTACCATTTTCTGGGATCAGAGGACCGCGACCCAATGACTCTACGGGTGGTAAGAGAGATACGACTCACTATGCACATCTGTGATGTTTATGGTGGGCCAGTGGGCTTGATTTTTGGCTAAAGTCGTCCTGCTCTCTGGATACTATCTGCTAAGAAGAGGGCTGCGGTGTGCTCTTTGATGTATGGGATTGGTGAATGGAAACAGGGCACTTGTGAATTCTCCCGTAGCTTTTGTGAGTCACTTAAAGTCACTGGTTATCATCAGAGGTGAAAATCAGAAAGACAATAGTCAGAATAACTAAGCTGCTTCCTACATGTATAAAAGCCTTGCTTCTTTCCTTTGTGATTGTCAAATAGAGCCAGAGAAATTAAACTGCTGTTCGTCCCCCAAGCTGTCTCCTTTTCTTTCTTTAAAAATCTGTGCTTTCCGGGGTCTCCGGTTTCCCTCTAGAGAAACCAACGACACCATGGGAAAGGGTCTGAGTTGGCAACTGTAGATATTTTAGAAACACCTTTTCCAGAACCTCATGTGCCTTGTTAATCCTCTAGAAACACCTATTTTGTAACTAAGCTTGTACATCAAAGTTGCAAATTGTAGGGCCGGGGATTTAGCTCAGTGGTTCTGCCACCTGCCTCAAAAGCGCAAGTTTGATCCCCAGTTCCAAAAAAAAAAAAAAAAAAAAAAAGTTGCAAATTGTCAAGGACTCTGCTTAGGCCTTAAAAAAAACCTCTTTAGATTTAGATAAGGGTGTCCATAGTAATCTTTTGGGGGAAAGGTATCACAGTAGCTCGGGGGAAGAAAGGATGGTTTTTGTATTTACTTTCATTTTGTGCTGTTTCTAGTCCTAATTAGTGCAGTGTTTTATGACTGTCCAGAATGTACTGAGAAGTGTATTAAGGAAAGAAGTTTAGGTGTTGAGAGTTTTAACCTTTTTGTCACCACTCCACAGCCCTTTAAGACTTTCTTCTTTTTTTAAATTTGAGACAGACTCTCACTAAATTGCTAAATTGCCTGGGCAGGGCTCAAACTTGGAACCCTCCTGTCTCAGCCTCCCAGAATGCTGGGATTACAGGCCTGTGCCACATCTGGCATTGTTTTAGCTTTCTTCAGGCTCTTCTATCTATAAAACCATCCACTTTTGCTTAGATCATCAAAACATTCATTCCATATATATATATGTATATAGTTTATTTATTTTGAGACAAGGTCACATTTTATGGTGCATGCTGTCCTTGAACTCACTATGTAGCCCAGGCTGGCACTGAACTCTCAGGGTCCCTCAGCTTCCTGAGTGCTGGGATTACAGGCGTGTACCACTGTGCCCAGCCATTTATTCTTTTTTTTTTTTTTTTTTTTTTGGTACTGGGGATTGAACTCAGGACTTTGTGCTTGCCAGGCAGGCAGCGTCACTACCTGAGCTAAATCCCGGGCTCCATTTATTCTATTTTATGGAATGAAGTGTTGCCTTATTGTAGAATCAGAAATAAAGCCAATTAAAGCCTTTAAATTGAAATTTTCTCATTTGACATAGGAAACAATGCTCATCTTTTCTTCGTTAACTTGGACTCATCCTTTGGTTCAAGGAGCTGAGTCTTAATCCAGGGTTAGTGCTTAACTAATCTGCCCAAGATCATGGGTTCAATCCCCAGTACAACGAAAAAAATTAACTATAAATTCATCAAAAGAACATTTGGAGACTATTCCCTAACTAAGTTACCTTCCCCTTAAATAGTAACCACTAGTCTGGGCGTAGTGGTGCACACTGGTATCCCAGCTGGAAGATGGCGGAGTTCAAGGCCACCCTGAACTATGTAGCGAGGCCCTGCCTCCAAAACAAAACACAAAACAAACAAAAAAACCAAAACACTAAATCATAAAATATGCTTTTTTTCCCCCATGCTGAGGATCTAACCCAGTGCTCTCGCACTCTAGGAAAGCTCTCTGTCCTGAAACATTCTCCCATACTACTTCTTCATAGTATTCAAGAGTGCGCCGCCACGCCAGGCTGATACTGTGTCTAGATGTGTACTTCCGAGCCAATCCTCACACAAGACAGGGTCCAAGCAAATACCAGCAAATGAATGAACTCTTGACAGTTCCTGCAACCCTTGGCTGGTTTAACCCCGCCTTCCCCTATGAAGGTTTAGCCCCGCCTTTCCTTTTACCCACCAATGAGAGATGCCCTCTCCACAGCACAAATCAGGGCGGTGGGCGGGGCCATGCAATGACGCCCACCGCGCGTCCTGCGTAGGGTGGGCCGTGTTTCCGGCCTGAGGAGCCTTCGCGTTTCTGGGGCGACGCTTCAGCTGGCAGTTACCTCAGAGCAGGAATCCTGCGGACCAACTCACTCCGTCTCCAGAGTCACCATGGGGGCTGTGCTGGGCGTCTTCTCCCTCGCCAGCTGGGTAAGTTTGGAGTCCTGTGTCCTCGGCGGACCTGCGGTTCGGGGAAGGGCGATAGGGAGTCCCAAGTCCGGATCCAGACAGGCCTAGGCTCCAGAGGCCCTCAGGGAGACGGGCTGCGCTGTGGGTTGCAGAGGTCCGCGGGGTCCAGGCCCACTTGTGCAGTGTCCCCAGGTCGGTGGAGGGCTCGCCCGCAGCTTTAGTGTGGGGCCCTCCCGCCGTTGTTTACAGCTCTGACCGCCCCGCCCCCGAGAGCCTTCCGGACGCCAGGTGCCTCCGGAGCTGGATTAGGACCAAGGACTGAGAGCTCCCGCGGCTTTTTCGGTTTCTTTTGAAACATTTTTTAAAGTGCCGTCATTTGGAGCAGGGCATGTGGCGCACTCGGGAGGCTGAGGCAGGAGAATCGCCCTGAGTTCGAGGCCAGCCTGGACTACATAGTAAGACCCCGCCTCAAAAAACCAAAAACCAAACAAAAACAAAAAACAACCGTGGGGTTATTTAATTTCCCGTGACTTGAGTAATATTTTTATTCCGCAGCACGGGATTTGCCAAAGCTATGGAGTGGGATTTAACTAAGCCCTGCTACAGCTCTGGTCTGTGCGACGTGACATTGTGGAACCCATACAAGTCATTTATCTGTGAAGATGAACACTTTAGCATTCCTCCCCATCCAGAGCTGTTTGAGTATAAAGTAAATAAATGAGTTGAATCATTTTGTAAATGGTAAACATTTTAAAAAGGAAATTTGGGGGACTATGAAAGAGAATATGCTAAATTCCCTCATATATCGACTTCGAGTGTTACTGGAGTTTTGGGGCAGAAGCCCTGGCTCTGGTGTTCCCAGCAGAGCAGGCTTGCCCTTTCTGTGACACTGCTATCAATAATAGTAGTAGTGATTAGCAGGAAAGGAGCTTTAGTCAGCATGGCCATGCTGGGAAGCACAGATAACTTTATAGAGGCTCAAGGTCGGTGTTCCAGGAACTGACAGACGCTTTGGGGTTTTCTAGAAAGGGAAAAAAAGCACGGAAGGGTTTGGGGTTTCCCTAGCTGTCCTGGTCTAGAAGCACTCTGGTTGGTGGGTATCTCAGGAATGGTTCTGCCAGACTCAGAGAGCCATCATCTGGGTTAGTGAGATGTCTGCTGTAGCTATGGGGGGCAGCCTCAGTTCCTGTCTTGAGGTCAGGGTGCTGGGTTGAGGGGATGATGATCTTGTGGGCTTGTCTGAGGTTCTGCTATTCCTGGAATCTGAGGTGGCTGCAGGTTTAGGACAGTGAGTGAAGACTTACAAGCATACTCCAGTGGGTCTGGAACTGGACCTCATAAAAATTGGCAATTGGATGTCTGAGTAAATCCTGGAAATTAGTTACTTGTATCTTGGTTGCCTCAGTCTTGAAAAAGGGAATGAGAGAGGCTAGGTAAATTTAGAGTTGATACCTTTTGTGTACAGACACTCCTCAAGTGATTAACATGCCTGCATGCAGAGCTGAGCAGGCATCTGACCCACAGTTTTGAGATAAAAAGGGAGGCACAAAGTGAAGATGGCCAGGGTGGTGAATGCTTGTAATCCTACTCGGGAGGCTGAGGTAGGAGGATCTCTGCAAGTTTGAGGCCAGCCTGGGCTACATAGTTCAGGGCCAGCCTGAACTACAAAGGGAGACCCTACCTCAAAAAAACAAGAACAAAACAAAACAAAAAGTGAAGGCAGAGATGCCAGGCTTTATCCTGGTTTTAATCACCCATTGGGCATCTGCAGGCCCAGGTTTTAGATCCCTGTTACATGAGGAGCTCAGTTCCTTGAAATCATTTCCTCATTCCCCAGCTGATGAAATTGACCAAGGATTCAGCCTGAGCACATCCCAAATATCATTTCTTAGGAGCACCATGTGTCTTAGTTCCTTTTCTTATTGTTGAGACAAAATACCTGACACCCAAAGTTAAAGGAGGAAAGGTTTATTTATTATTTAGCTCAGGGTTTGTAGAGGTTTTAGTCTGTAATCAGCTGGCTCCAAGGCAGAGTGGCCCATGGCAGAGGGGTAATAGTTCATGGCAGCAGAAAGACAGCAAAAACAACAAGGGAAGCTTAACAGCATCTTTCTGCCCCTTTTATCCAGACTACTAGGGTTAGGGTAGTACCAAACCAATCAGTGTACTGGTTTAGTAATCACACAATCTAGATTCAGCCACCTCTGGAAAGCCATGTATGACCACATGAAGCTTTGAGGGGACATCTAGACCCAAACCATAATGCCATATATTTTCCATCCTTGAATGTTGTTGTGAGGCCTGAGTGACTCCATTTTAAAATTTGGCCCCATCTTAGAGTGAGGTGGCCTGGACATAAACTCTAGTTCCAAGAAAAACCACAAGATGTACTTTGGCCACCTGCCTGTGATAATGTCCAGCGGTCCCCTAGCAACTCGCCTAGCAACAGCTAATAAGTAGCTGCCCCAATGTCCCAGATGCTCTTCTAGATGGCTTGCAACAGCTAATCAGTAGTTACCCCAATAACCCAGTATCCCAGATGTTCTTTTCGATGACTTGAGCAACCCTTTGCAGTTCAGCGCAAGGCACAGCCAATCAGGTTTAAACTTTCAAAACTTGCTAAATGCTAGCCAATCGTGTGATTTGCGTGTGATTTGAAACCCTGCGCCTTGCTGTAACCTCTATAAAAACCCCTGGTGTTTTAGAGTCGGGGCTCTCAATCTCGACCCGCTGTGTTGGTGTCGGATGAGAGTCCCTGCTCGAGCTTGAATAAACGACCCTTGTGTGTTTGCATCGACCCTTGTGTGTTTGCATCGGAATCGGCTCCTTGGTGGTCTTCGGGGGTCCTTGCGATCTGGGCACAACATTGTTGCTCTTATAATGAATGTTGAGTCATTAGAGGTTCATTGAATAATGTCTTTCTAATTTTTCTGTCTTGCCCTAAAGAAATACATTTGACATAGTTGGCCTAATGCACACAAAGCCTTTTTAAATGATTCTTATGTTTACCATCTGCTGTGCAATTTTTCTTCTGTCACATAAAAACAAAACAGCCTGAGCATAGTGGTGCAATCCCAGCACTCTGGAAGGTTGAGGCAAGAGGATAGCAAGTTTGAGCCCAGCCTGGACAGTTTAGCAATTTAGTGAAATCCTGTTTCAAAAGTAAAAATTACGAGGGCTAAGGATTTAGCTCAGTGGCACCGAACCTGCCTCGAAAGTGCAAGGTCCTGAGTTTGATCCCCAGTACGGGGGCTGGGGGTTAAAAAGGGGTGGGAGTGTAACTGAAAGCCCAGGGCTCAATCCCCATTACCATACACACACATACACAAAATTGTAGTCAGTTAATTTCTACAATCTAGTGGATCAACCCTGTTTACAAAACAGATTTTAAAAAATATAGCCAGGCATGTTGATACATGCCTATAATCCCAGCATTTAGGAGGCTGAGGCAGGGCATGAGTTCAAGGACAGCCTGAACTACATAGTGAGAAAGTCATTAGTTAATAAGTAAATTGGTGTTTTGAAACAAACATATCTTTCTTATCTTGATAACCTGAAATTTAAGTTTTGGCTTTGATTTGAGGTTTGAATTAATTCTATTCAAGCATTTATATCTATAAATCATTTTTTATTTTATGAATTTGTTTAGTAGGAACAGCAGGGAAGTCAGAATACTGCACCAGAGAGTGAAATGAGTGAGAAAAATAATATAAAAGAAAACAAGAAAGACAGTAGGGGACTGAGAGTATGGCTGAATGGTAGCCTGGTTACTTTTAAGTGATGTGAGAAGCCATTACTTTGAAAAATGATACGATCTTGTTATAGACAGCTAAGTTAGGTAAAAATATTATAAACAGACAGGGCTAGGCCCTTCAGGGAGTTGGTGCAGAGGATAAAAACACATTACAACCGAGGCTAGAGGTGTATTCATTAAAGGCCTGGCCTCAAGATAAAGATGGTATGGCCAGGCTTGTATGCCTTCCCAAAAGATAAGCAGTATACAGTACTATAATTGGTATTACCTGGTCCAGTAAAGTCTGGATAAACATCAGTCACCCAAGTGGGTGATTAGGACCTCCTGATTCAACTCTTCCTAAAAAGGTTCTTGTTCTTTCCATGTATACTTGGTACATGATCTGCTTCTCCACTGGATCAATATTACCTAAGCAACTATACTTGTAATCTTATTGGTTGATGGTAGTACCCACCACATAATTTTGCTCTATAAAATTTCCTCTGTAAAGTGGGGTCTGTGGCAATCCACTTTTGGGTCCCCTCTTGTCTCTCAAAAGTTATCTCAATAAATATTTCCTATTCTTAACCTCCTTTGTTTCTTAGAATTTAGTCTTCGATTTTGGGGAACATGAATTTGGTGTACTTGACATCTAGCAGGCTGAGGATTGTATTTATTTCCTCTATACTGGGAATTGAGCCTAGGGCCTTTGCACAGAGTTACATCTCCAGTCCTTTTTATTTTTTATTTTTATTTTTATTTTTATTTTGAGACAGGATCTGAGTTACCAAGTTGCCCAGACTGGGCTCAAATTGTGATCCTCCTGCCTCATCCTCCCAGAGTGCTAGGATTACAGGCATGGACCACCACACCAGCCCTGACCTGTGTTTTGACAAGATGGTTCTGGTTGCTGTGTGGGGGAATAGAAAAGAGTAAAGTAGGATAAGGAAGGAAGTACCTCCTCTACCCTCTTGGGTCTTGGGAGTCTTGGGAGTTAAACTGACCAGAGACAGATTAGCAAAAGAAAAAAATAGTGTATTTATTTTAAATTTTTTTCCATAAGAGTTTATGTATGCAAGATGCATAGAGCAATGTTTGGTGATGAGTAACTCACAGGGGTGGTTGGAATTTTTGTCTTACATCCCTGACTTAGTAAGGGAAAGGAGGGGAAGAGAAATAGGTTTTTATGGGAAGAACAAATTATATATTATGTATATTAATGGAGACAGGGTCTTGCTATGTCGTCAGGCTGTCCTTGAACTCACTGTGTAGCCCAGGTTGGGCTCAA